CAGTATTGGTGTCACCGGCTGTGATGGTTCTGAAGGTGCCAAAGGTGGTATCGGAACCATTCTTATTACATAAACCTTCCACTTCAGACCCAAGTGTCAGAAGTAAACAGGTTAAATTTATGGCTGATTTATGAGTAGTGTAGAAATTTCAAAAATAGCTACCTTAACATTTATCGGTAATATTATTGATGGTTAATTGTGAAGTAATATTAATGAACACATAGATTGTATAATTTACGATTACACATTTCAAATTTTACTATTCCGAAAAAGTTCCATGCCCAAGAAACGTCAGTGAAAAGTCAGTGAAAATTTAGCACTTATTTTTTCTTACACAATAAGTAAGTGATATACTTTAAAGGTACCGAGTTCTCTCCAAGGAAACAATCAATTGCTGAAGTGATACAGAGGTTAATTTCATTATTTGTACTCTGCAATTGGGTGTGGTGGGGAAATGTGATTTGCATATTAATTTTATTCGCACTATAAATCTCTTATTTTAGGTCAAGTATCTATCGGAAAATTTCTCAAAACTGCTGGTAAATAATAAATTATATATACGATATACACCCTTTCCTGGCCAGGGAAACGTCAGTGTCGTTGTGAATGGAAACGACGGCGGTTACATAAACGGACGCATTACTCTTATTATGCAAACTCTCGGTTTCACGCTAAACTTAGCATACAGAACAGGTTCGGTCAAAATGGTAATACGTCGTCTTATGGTCCTAACATTGATCTTTCACCTCCTCTACAGTTATCAAAAACAGTTTTATGAAGTCGGTATTGAAGACCTACAATTCAACTGCAAATAACGCTAAATATAGTGCCGTCGTAGCAACCTGCTTCTGTAACGCAGCCGATGAATGTACACCTTTTTACATCTTGTGTTACGATTAAATGTTAGTGAGATCGAGTAAGGTCTATAAGGAGTCCACTGGATAGACCGTTACTTTGTAGTAAATAACAATGTTTGAAAATAAGAATCTGGAATCTGGCAGAACAATATACTCGACTTTCAAAATGAAAACAGAAAGAACAGCGTGTCGAATATCCGCGGAGATAATCTGGATGGTCCTCTTTAGTGACTTAATTGCTGACGTTTGAAAATGTTGAGGGTGATTGGACATGCTGACACAGCTGCGCGTATGTCACAAAATTTATTATTTAAAAATATATTATCTCCTTCAAATCCCACACAAAATGACTGCGCCTTGAATTTCTTCGGAGATAAACCGTATGATTCACTTGAGTGATTATATTGCCGCCAATATTGAAATATATCGATGGCCTCTAGTCGATAGTAAACGAAACGGAAACTTGCCGAGGGATGTGTTTTATTACCATGTGAATGGTCCATATTCATATTGACCAGGGGCAATCCACACGTAACTTCTTAGACTACAACTATTTTTTGCTTTTGCTTGGTTATTCCGAGTGTATATAACGTAATCGAAGGTATAATGTCACGGAGTACTCGTTTCGCAATACATTCATATCCCAATCAATTGTCAAAGTGCAGCGTTGCCATTGGGGAGTTTATGAAACTAATTAGCTAGTGACAATCTGTACATAACTTCATTATTCTTGTCCTAAAAGACTCTTTCATAATGTTTTCTTATTCCAGAAAAATGAACTCGGCAAATCTCATTTTAGATGTGTTCAAAAGCATACACAATACTTTTAATACGTCACTTAAACGTTTGAGATTAAAACTTAGTTGGATTAAAAAAGATGTACTATGAGAACATCAATTCCTTAAGAAGACTAATATTCAGGTAACCGAAATGTGATTATGACGATGACGTACTCTAAGTTAACAACTCATAGCTGAATTGCATAAAGATGTAAGTGGCAGTCCGGTTGGATTATATAACATACCTGTGTCCTTGAGGAAACGCCGAGGGCATTACAGGAGCGACTGCAAAAATTTCAATAGGAATTCCCAGTATTTTCTTAGCAATAATTGTCTGGAACAATGATCAAAGTGACCGCAATGAGTTTCATTGGAAGTTGAAGAAAAGTTGAAAACGATAGAATAAAAGTGTGATAAGTACTACTGCCGAGAGCAGACACTTGGCGAAACCAATTACACGAAGACAAAGTGAGCCAGAGAACCATGGCTAGCAGAGACAAGCAGGCAGATGCAAAACCGCCGGTTGAGACGAGTAGGTCATGGGTTTCAGCATCCGCACAGTGATGTACTCACGTGTGAGAATAAAGACAGGTGCAGGCAACCATCAAGAAAAGATCAAAAGGGTAGGAAAAATGGGCGATACGGCGGATTATGGAGTAATGTAGAAGAGACGTGAAAGAGGGTATATTTCGACCTCAGGAAGAAGCGAAAATAACTGAGACGTAGTCATGCAGACGAAAAGAGAACTACCACACTCGACGTGTGAGGCAAGACAAGGGACGAGGTCGGAGGTGAAAACGTAACCAAATAGTGGAGGCGACAGTAACAGATGGAAACTCAGCAAAGGTCGGTGATTGCGTGGCAAGCGAAGTGGAAGACGGTATCACGTGATTACAGATGAAAATTGATCTGAATCGAGTGTTGATAATCAGGACTAGAATTTGTATGTAAATACAAATTCTAAGAACCCACGGCCTTGTTTGTATAATCATCAGTTTTTTAAATGGAATGATATTTTTGTGACCTATATTTAATATTAAATTTGAGTGTTTTACTTATATAATAGATATCACTATATTTTCAAGATTTGTATCTTTTAATTGAATTGTTAGTTTAATTGGATAGTTGAGATTTGGAATTGTTACTTGAATTTTATTCCGTAGTTTGAACATTTTACTATATATTTTGACACATTATGGTACCTTTTATTTCGTATACGTCATAGTCCCGTTAAAATGATCATTTGAAGCTAATTTAATTGTTCTCGATTCCCATAAAGTTTATGATCCAATATTGAATTGAACTAATACAACAAACGTAGATTTGTCTTACATTTCCAAAACATTTGTCATATGTGAGGTGGCAAAGGTCTACACATGAAATTTCCCACCAAAACATGGGTTTCGTCCTTTCCCTACACTCTTTTTAAACGCGAGTACTTTAAATACCAAGGCCGTAAATGCTGAGAGGCGTGCTTGAACACAAGGATTGGAGACGCGTCTTGGGAGTTCAAAGTCATTCCTACTTAGACTTCCCACGCCCTTCTTCATACGACATGCCACATCCCTCCCGTGGACCACACGCGGCATCGCCGCCACGGCAACCCCACCCTCACCGCCTGTCTTTCCCACGCCTTCGCCCCAGAGGTTGATGGTCGATGTGAAGAGGAGGCGAAGGGGGAGATAAGGGAGACCATGAGCGCCGGCGGGAGCGCGTCGTGGGTGGTACGCGGGTGGTTGATGCGTTGCTGGAGCTCTGCTCGACGCAGAGCTTCCCGAACGCTTTTTGGTCACGGCGTCCATGAAATAGTTGTCAACGGTGATAGGGCAATAGGAAATAACCAATAGACTCTTATACCGGCTGAGTTGGCTGAGGGCACCAACTGATGTCACTGAAGCGTCACTCACCGGGCGGCCCTAGCGTTCGAATCCAAACAGTGGCAGGATTTTCCACACTGGCTAGTTAGTTTGGTGGATTTCAGCCGCTGTCTCGAATTCTAGAGGCCGGCCGCTTGACTCTGATAGGTAGTTTTTCGTGGTTTGTGCGATCAAACAAGGCGAATGCTGGAGCAGGACCCTAATAAACGGACCACGAACCGAGCGCGCGATCTTTCCTTCTAGTTCTTCCCTGTCACACAAACCTTACACGCTGAAACTTATTCTTAAAACTACTTATCAGAAGTTTATGGCACAATGAATGTTGGTTAACATATTTAGCAAATAATGATCTAAAAACTACGTTGTCTTTTATTTGTGAAATATTCCGCCTTAGCTTCCAAATATAT